GTCACATCATAAGAACATGACCACATAGACACATATATGCTAACAAATGCGCAAAATCGCCAGCAGACGGTGGCCGGTTTGTCTGCGCGGTTCATGTCTGTAGATACCGGGCAATGTGAATAGAGCAACAGAGTAAACGGTGTCTGTGTCGGTATGTGTCTGGCGTGTCCGATATCCGTAAATATAAGCGAACCTTTATACTAAATTAAAAATATCTCAGATTTAATTTAAATTTTAATTCGTTGAAAGTAGTGTTCAAAATAAATACATTTCAAAATTTTGCTGTAAGCTGATGAGTGTACTTTGATTTTGTATTTGTTATAATAAATTAATACCGTCTACCTTTATATATACTGAAAAATATTTATGACTTAATAAGTAATCCATAAGAATTCATATAAACTCTTCCCGAGTTATATAAATCAGTATTTGCTCAGTTCGCACGAGTGATAAAGTTTTGAAACGAAAGTTATGTAATAGGTATTATTCTCGTTCCAGAGTTCTCGGAGCCCATGTTTGAGTAAGTTACAAGGCAAGTTAAAATCATTAATTCAGTCTAGGCTATACAAAGCACTTGTGGAAGTCGAAACTCTATGCCATCGGTTCATAAGTCTATGGCGGGAAACCTTGTACCGAGAAGAACCGGCACGAAAATCGGCAAGGGCTGCTTTTTTCGTTTTATTTCATAGAGAGTTGGCGAGACTGAAAAATGACCATTAAAATGTCACTTTCCATCACAATATTATAAATATAAAAACGTATACATATATTTACTTTTTAATCTGTGTTTTTAATAGATTCATATCAAATAAATATAACGTACAATGATAAACGATAAACTGTGTGATACTGCACCCAAGCACTACACACTTGTGAAAAATAAGTCACATTTAACACCAAGGAGTTTCGTTGTCTAAATATTCATTAACAGTTTAATTTACTTTACTAAGTAGACAGTTTTTAATAAGTCTTGAATTTAGGCAATGGTCAATTTAATATTTCTATAGGAATTTTGTTATACCTCGCCCCATCAATGTTTCTAGAACTTTATTTAGCCTGCATGACGGTAAAACAAGTTTTTCTTTGTTTTTAGTATTATTTGTTTACATGTGTATGTTTAACGTAACTGTTAATATGCCAATTTCTTTGAATTTAGTTTTATGTGATATGAACGATATCGAGCCTAATTAATAAATAGCTCTTACTGCTCTTTTTTGTAAAATAAAAACAGAATTTATATCTGCAGCTATACCCCACATTAGAATACCGTATGACATAACGCTATGGAAATAACTAAAGTATACTGTCCTTGCAGTATCGTATAGAGTTCTCTGATTTTTCGTATTGCATAGGCAGCTAAACTAAGTTTTTCCGCGTTGTTAATGCGAGGATGCCATTGAAATTTAGAATCCAGCGTTACACCCAAGAAGATTGTTGAAACAACCAACTCGAAATTTCATCACTATGTTTAATTTCTGTTAGTTCTGTTTTTACATTGAGTAATATGAACTTTAAATATTTCGAGATTATGTGCAGTAAACCATAGGTAAACTGTGAAAGAGCACACCAGACGTATAAAAGTGACATAGTTAAGTTCAGCAGTTATTTAGATTCCTTACCATAAAACTAAATCGCTTAGTTACAAATGTCTAAGAAAAAATAGAGGTATGTAGAGACCGTTAATTGTGACGCTTAGTTCTATTTGCATATCCCACAAATGGACATGAAAGTCAGTCTCTAAGTTACTTTATATATATATGGGTTTGTTAAATCGATAAATTATGGTGCGGTTCTATTCACGATTGTACGATAAGACTTTAAAGCTACAGTCGATAATGCTACAAAACGGCATCTGTTGAAATATTAACAACGCAACAGCAAATTAAGATAATAACTATAGGACTTACAAACTAAAATCATCATCAGCCCTTTTAGGTCCCCACTGCAGGGGCTCAGGCCTTCCTTATGGATGGTTAAGGAGAATGGGCCCTGACTCTCCACGCTGGCCCAATACTGGATTGGAAGGTATTAACGACCGCAAATGCAGCCGGGACCAACGGCTTAACGTGCCTTCCAAAGCACGGAGTAGCTCGAGATAATGATTTTTCGGTCACCCATCCCGTGACCGACCCTTGCGAAAGTTGCTTAACGAGAACGATCGTGCGCCGTGGCGCTTATCCACTACGCCACCGAGCTACAAACTAAAATAAGATTCTTAAAACATAGAACGCATAGATTGTTTCATAAAGTCTTGTCGCACCAGTATAGGCTGAACCAGTGAATAAGTGCGGCAGATTGATTTTCGCTTTATCGTTGTATCATGTTTTTCTTACCGCGCGTTCCTGATAGATTTGCTTTCGCAACATTAATTGTTGACACTGTCACATTGTTTATTGTCGCGTATATGTTTGTAACTTGGCAATAATTTCCATATAAAGAGTGAATTTTTAGGTAAAGACTCAATACTTACAGCGTGAAGATGTTTTCCATCGTAGTGCATTGCCAGTGAAGTGCGTGGTACCAGTAGCGTCGTGGTGGTAGTCTCCGAGGCAGCTGACTCCCTTTTTGAAGGGTGATGGTATAACCTGACCCGACGTACTTATTTTATTATTATATTAGGATTTTTCTTCAAGTTCGTATCAATCTCAATATCTCGATATTTTCCAAAATCTATAATTCTTTTATGATAAGACGTTTCCCAATAATAGTATAAAGAAAGTGTCGGAATTTCCTTTTTCAATCTCAAGACATTTATTGGAAATAGTTTACTATTGGAAACGTATTTTATTTCAATGGATGAAAGCTACTTTTTATTCAGATACCGCGAGGTTAAAATCGCAAATAGAATTTAGTTGTATAAAAGATACCTTATTTATCACACAGTATAAATTTGTTATCAGTATGTAAATACTGTGCTTGTTACTGTAAATCATATTCACGTATATTTTGTTGTTTTTTTATTTACTGACATCGGTATAAACGAAAAATATGTTTAGAAACACGTTTTTGTTTATGATGTCCCATCTGTACTTTGACGGTGATGATCTATTTTTCTCAATTTGAGAGATTTTTTTATTAGTAATATACTAGTTTTCCGTCAGCGGCTTCACCTGCGTAGTCCCCAGGGAACCGTTCAGTGAGATAAGAAATAGTTTAAACGTTAATCCAGGCTTAGAATTTCAGATTTCCGTATATCAGATTTCATCTAAATACGTTCAGTAGTTTTTGCGTGAAGAAGTATTTTGCGTGAAAATTATTAGGCGAAAGTTTGTATGTTTGGATGTTTTTGCTGTTAATTCAAAAATACACACGATAAAACCGTTTACAAGTAGTTTTATTTAATCAGAAGTGCACGTGAAATATGAAACTAGTATGTCTTACTCTTTATTGTTTTTTTTATTCTCCATTCAAAATATCGCAACCTGTCAAGCAATGTGTGTCTTGCAATGTGCCAAGAATATAAGTTGTTTATAGAAATGTTGTATATCGAAAAACGGAAGTACAAATTATGTTGTTAGGTCCTGGAAACAAGATTTCTCGCTATTAAATTTTCAAATTGAATAAACAACAACACGAGGGCAAACAAGGTTATTCTCAAATCATGTTGCTTCATGCCGTCAATAGATATGGTAATGACATCGTTCCCAAGATACTCCAAAATGAAAAGCGTTTTCTAACTCTTTGATGAATTTATTCATTCAAAAGGCTGCGAAGCATGACTCCCGAATAAGTTAGAATTCACTGGAGAGTGTTTGTGTACAGAAAAACATGCAAATGTGAATTGAAATGCCCCTATTACGGGAATGTTATAAAGTGAAATGATTCGAGCTCGATTTAACTGTTTATTCGTAAAAAGGGTGCTATTTGTTGTATTCAATGGGAGAACGGAAGGTTCATAATTTATTTATTTCCTTTTTAAATAGCTATATCAAATTTATGAATCTAGAGAATTCGTCATAAAATTATTGATAGGATAGAAAGTTATGACTCAAAAAAATTAATGGTTTATTTGCTTTAGTCGATAGCCCGCATGCGAAGTGGGCTCATTTCACCCTTATATAATAGATTTTATATTATAACTTTGTTTTTTCGAAAATATATATTTTTTTAATTTATTTATAGAAAACAATAATTTGGTTATGAAAATTCTTTCATTTACGGTAACGTACATGATACGAGGTGAGATAGGCTAGAATTTACACAGGTGGAGTAGAGGGAAATAAAACAGCTAGTTGGTAAATAAAACATTGAACGATCAAAAGCTACATTAAGTGGATAAAACAATTACCGTAGGAAAACTATCAGTTCAGGGAGGAAGAAAGAAAAGCTATAGGAAATTTATAACCAATATTCACTAGTTAGAAAGACGGTTAAAGAAAAGCTAATAGTTTTGTTATTTATTATAAAAATTATAATAATATAAAAATATTACACTTTATACTGAAGCGGTTATATCATTAGCGTTAATGTTTCAAATTATTATCATCGGTCGCATTTATTACTTTAATTGTGACTGGAATTTTGTGAATTCAGCGTTGGATTGTATTCAGTCGATTAAAATAAATCATGGAATCCATTACAATTTTGGACAGCTGTGATTCTGTAATATCCCACGTGATGGATGGGTTTTTGGGTACTAATAGCTTACGCTTCATGACGCATAAGTTTATTTTCTTATGTTTTATATATTAGGTACTTCTGTAATCTGTATGTACATATTATGTAATAAGTAAAAATACATTTTTTTATAAGAGTCGGATCAATGAGTAAATCTAATCAATCTAAATTTAACGGATTTCTTATTTTGATCCGATTTACCCACAGATTTAATTCATTCAGGTATACCTACCCTTATATTACTATTGTATATCAGTATAAAATTATGTATTTTATATTTTATTGTAAATGTAAGTAAGAAATAATGTTATCAAACAACTTATAAAGCGGGTTAATATATTAGATAGATAGAATAAATGTAAAGCGTGAAAAACTAGACAAGTAAAGCAGAATAAACAATTATTTTATTGGAAAATAACAAAATAAAAATACACCCAAATCCACATTACATCATTACTAATTATTTAAAATTATAAATTCTTCGTAAATGCAATAAGTTGACACTGGAAACCAAATGCTGGCTTTGCAGGTGTTGCAGTTCTTCATACTGTGAGCCTAATGGAAATAAAAAAAATATACGATCAAATATGGATTTGGAAAAAGTAAAAAGCGGAAATCAGAAGAAATTGACACTGAAATTGGGTCGTTGATGAAGTTTGTTACATTAAATTAGTATAATGGTGACTCTAAGAAATAGGCAACAGTTAATTCATTATTATCTTCTGAAATATTTAAATAGAACAATCCTAAATATATCACAGTCATACATTTTTTGTCACTATGAACAAGACAAAAGATTTCGTTGTCTTTTTCTTACTCATATTTCTTTAATGTCTTTTATTGTTTTCTATTTTGCATAAATTGAAATAGAAAGTCTGTATACATGAATCAAAGCTAATCACGTGTTACGGAAAGGGGAAATGAGATGGTCAGTCCTATAATTGATCGCTAATGACCACATCAGTGAACGTTGCTTGCTCTAGATCAGTGTTCCCTAATTGTTCTCGTCTGTGGACTAGAAATTGAAGGAAATTAAATACCCCAGGAAATTGAAGTAAAAAAATAAAAAAAGTTGCAAATTTCGTGAAATGTAAGTACTTTACGTTATAATATAGCTTGTGAATAATGTATTGCTTTTAAGCAATTAAATTAGTAACAGGTTGGGAAACGCTTCTTTTGGCATATCCTGCTTCATAATGATGAACGAATTAATCTTTGACGATGATTGCACAAAATCAGTAATAGTCGCTGATATTAGCAACGATTGTCAATTCATACATGTAATGAAATTAAACAATTATATGTTACCTACATTGAATATGAATTAAAGATTTATAAAAATAGTAATAATGATACCTGTTTGGAATTGATTATGAAATTGTAAAACGTAAACTAAAAATGTTCATTTATATTATTATAAAACTATTGTAACTTATCTATTTATTATTGTGATTTTTTATTATCATAATACTCCCAAAAATAGTTTGCTATTTTTTGAGATACGTATTCATACCGTTAATAACAAAGAAATATTGGCAATTACGAAAAAGCAAACAACTTGGGCAAACAAACAGATTATGAAAAATGAGATATTTGTTGTGATCGAGATACACCTCGATATGGAGTTATTTTTGTTCGTGACTTCGTGCAAAATAGACAGTGGCCTTGGGAAACTTCTTTTAGGGAGCGTTTCAAAATAGTTTTAATAAGTACGGCCCTTAAAGATGTATCTTTTGGACTACACTACAATTTAAACGTAAAACACTTAACATTTTGAAATAATTAAGTCTACAAATTTGTGTAAGAATGTACCTATATCTTGCTCTTGTTCCTGTGCTTTTACTTTTAAATTTTAATATATGGAAAAAATTAATGCGTAGAGTCTTGAAGGTAAAGTGTTCGTAAGTAATGGGTTGGTGACTAAATAGCTAGTAATGACTTTGTTTTTAAACGACAGTGCCAATCCTAAATTATCTTGTGATATATACAGATAAGACGCAATACTCGATTTTCTAAATAAATTTGCTAGAGGTTGAAACGGAAATCTTGTCCCAGACGACCCAAATAGGCGAAGGACATTTTTTTGTAATACACCAAGGCCCATTGCGACATAAACCTACTCTGTTTCTGTGAAAAAGTATTTCGTCTCTTTCCGAAATGCATATATGATTCCAAAGATATCCTTTCGATAATTTATGATGCAATCGAGATAGGATCTTACATTGTCTATGATGCAGAGATAAGTTCCACGGCTATAGTTTTACTAAATTTATTAAAATAAATCGGAGTTTTTCAAGTTTTGTACATTGTGAAACGTTTAGTCTGTTACACGTATCTCACCTGATGCTTTCCGTTCTAGATCTCGGGGACCAATCTTTAGAGTAGGAAGCGCCCCTCCTCCTGCCCCCTCCGATTGTCCTGCCAGTCTTCCATCGTTCCACGTGCCCTCGTATCGCATGTCTGACTTCAGTGTTCATGAAGCAATAGAATAGAGCCACCGTGAATCCCTGTTGAATTTTGTATATCAGATTAGTACATAACGTCAAATATCTGCAATCAATTTTTAACTGTATTGTAAAGCGGAATCGGGATATATTAGAGAAATTTTACAGTTTGTATGACCTGGGATGGCAGGTAGTCGCCCGACTCTTTAACCATAGAATACGACATCTTAGTGAATATTATGACGATATTTCGATTCATTTTACTACTTTGACACATCATTTGGTGGATCGATTTGGATTTAATTCCCTTAGTACCCTGAGATAGAGAAATAGCCAGATTAATTAGACGGTAGCTCTATAGGGTTATGGTCGCTTCTATCATGTTAGATGTAGCCTTAGAGAAAGTCAAAATCTATAAAATGTTAAGTTTTATTGATTTTGGCAATTATTGTAGTCCTATTCTATGCTTTTAAAAGTACTTGAACTGATTGCTTCATGATCTCCCACCGTAAACTATTAACGTTGGAGTCGTGATATATGGTCGTTAGATTTATTTTATGGAATATACATCTACTTAATTCGAAAAGAAGATAAGAAGGGGAGACCAACCTGCTCCTATTTTATATTTAAAACTGGCTTTCTGCCAGCGGTTTCATCAGTTTGGTCCTGTATTATACCTACTTATAAACCTCCCTTAAGAATCTTACTGAATAATGAAGAAAATGGCATCAAAATCCTTTGTGTACTTTAAAAAATCTAAGTGTACAGACAGCGAGAGGCAACTTTGTTTTATTATTCTTTACCTATATAGATTTAAAACGAGACTATCAGAGTAAATAAATGGAATTTCACTTAGTTTTAAATCTATTAAAAAGAAATAGGTATTTTATTAATTTGTGTTGAATAAAAGCGTTTGCTTATTGTATTTCAAACAGCTGTGACAATAAAGTTTTTTCCCACGTGTTTGTGTGCACAATACAGTGCCTGTATTTCTCATGAAATGTTCCGATACCAATATTTTATATGAATACGGTACATACAAATTATGTATTTTATAATTATATTTAATGTATAATGCATATATATATATATATATATTTAATATACTATAGTAATAGTACTATAATATTATTGCTAGCAATAGGGTTAAAGACAGTTATAAATTTAAAATATGAAATTAATAGTTTAAGACATCGTGATAAAAATATGTATCCATTATTTTTACTCCTGGATTAATCATTTTTAATACTCGTAATTAGGTTCAGATTACGTATAATTTTGGTAAATAAAATCATTATTGAATTGAATTGTGAACTCTTTAACGTCAGATAAGCGTAAGTCGTAGTGGATAAGCGCCGCAGCACTCTATCGTTGTTATTAAGCAACTTTCGCGAGGGACGGTCACAAGATGGAAGACCAAAAGAAAAATTATCTTGAGCTACTCCGTGATTCACGGCACGTTAAGACGTTGGTCCCAGCTGCACTTGCTCCAATCCAGTTAATACCCTCCAATCCGCATTAGGCCAGCGTGGAGTATCATAACACGTCCCCCTTAACCATCCATAAGGAAGCCCCTACAGTGGGAACGTAACTTAAAGCTAAATGCGAAAATTAAAGTAGCGCAACATCTAGAACCGAGATAATATAGAAAAGTTCATACGGGAATCAAACCCGGTACCTCAGGGATAGAGAAACCGGCGTGCGAGACACTCCTCTGCGGAGGTCATATTGATCTCCATAAAATTATATACCTTTTTTTTCTATCTTTATTAGTGGTCGCCCAGTGGTCGAAATTCGATCATAATATATTTAAATTAGAAGTTATTCAACATCATTTATATAATGAAAATTCTTTCATGTAATTACTGAAATCAAGAAGAGAAAAATATTTGTTTAGCCTCCACAATAAAAAAATACAAAAGATCTTTGAACCCGCAATAACAGATTTATATATTTTTTACCTGTACGATGAAAGTTTTATTCAGATCACTGCTACAAAACCTTCGTTAAATATAGAATGATAGCACATTTGTATATTGCATTGCATTGTTCTTATCACTCTTATTTTTCCTATAAGTATAAGAAATTACTGAAATCGAAAATTTTGCGACATTCAGTAAGACCACAGTAAACATCACAAACATATAAATAGATGTCTATAGTACACATATAAAACTTGACACTGGCTAAATGCACAAACCGTGTGAAGTCAATATTCAAAAGAAACAAACAAACTCTATGTCAAAAAAAAAAAATTACCACAGAGTACATGTATGCGTGTAGCAAGCAAATACTTGTTTGTTGTGTCAAATGCATAGTAGTATGTGTAATGTTTTATTTCTCGATTTAATGTACATTATAAGCATTATTATTGAAAAATATTAGCCGTTTGCACTTCTCCTACATGTAATTTATAAGTGTGCCAAATTTCATACTTCTCCGTTCTCGCAATTTTCGTAAAAAGGGGTCCAATGTTTTTACTTCACGTATTAATATATAGATAATAAGCTCCAGATTATACCGTATTCTCAGAGTAGGTAACATGAATTCAAACTAGCTTATACTAATGAGTACTGTCTAAGATCTAAGAAACTTTGTATGCTCAAGGCTATGCTCCGTTTTCAACAGTCCATCAAGTTATAACAAATGGCTAAATTTCTCCAATCAATGTGAGACTTAAGAAACAATTAAATTAAGAAACCCTTTAAATGGAATGCAGAAATGCCTTATGTAGTCACCCTCTAAACAAGTTTAAAATTTATGTTAATAAGTACTACATTGGGTCACCGTTTTTCGCCCCTATTATATCGACGCTTTCGTCTATGGCAGCGAAACTGTAGAAATGATGACAGGGAAAAAAGAAAGTACGTCATTTAGATAATTGAAAAATATTATATACGATATCACAGGCAATGAAAAATCGGTCATCTTCCGAATAAGAAACCTTCACGTAACGTGGCTTTCATCAAGTTAATAACAATAACAGTTTCTTCTTTATTTCGCTGCCGCATGCGAATGTGTCGGTGTACTAAATGTATAGGTATCAAAAGTTCTATAAGCCCAGTATGAGTGAATAGTGAGAACCTGCTGTTACTATTTCCTACGGTCGTAACGATTACGAAGACACGAGTAATAGTATAGGCATTATGTTTTTTTCTTTTGATCATAAATTAACCCTAAAATATCTCCGAAATCTATTTAAGTATTAAATTGGAGAAAGAATATTGACTTGTAAAATTGCTTTGATTTTGTAAAAAAATATTACGTAATAAGGCAATATGAGGAGCTCGATGGTGTAGTGTTACCGTGTCCAGTCTGCTTTGCGAAAGGTAAACAACTTTTACAAGCGCCACTTATAGGATGGGTGACCGAAAATTTATAAGCTCAAGCACTGCGTGGTTCGCATCTGCAGCCGTTAACATCAATACATAGTGGGCCTGCGTGATGGTTTATGACCCGTCATCCCTATTTATATAGTCGAATAGAATCGAATAGAGAGAAATGAAGGCCTGTGTCGCAGCAGTAAATTACGGCGATACATTGAGTTGAAATTACATTTTCTACAAAGCTCAACACTTCTCCACTCCTCAAGGAGCCATATCTTCTTAAATTGAAGCAAAAAAATATATGTCTAATATTTTTCTATTATCCGACTGATGGACTAAATAGAATTTCTTTTTTTTTACCGTCATTCTCCCTATTGTTAAAAAAATCTTCTACTAAATATCCTTAAAATAATAAAGACGACTGTTTGAATAACATAATAATTGAATGATGATCTCAGCAAAATGTAAGTTACGAATGAATATATTATTCAGATGTAATAGCTCTGTGTTCATTACGTTGAATATGTCAAGTTCATTAGTTATATTAAACTAGAAAGGAGTTAAGTGAAAATAACTCTCGAAATGAAAGAAGGTATGCCAAGTCTAACTTGAGCATATCTATTTACTTACTTCATATAGTTAATTTGATCTTGGTAATTTAAACAATTAAACATCAGGGAAATGCTATTTAGAAGATAATATTTAAAAATGCTATGTCAAAATAGCATGAGTATCTCGGTGGGGTAGTGGATAAGCGCCGCGGCCCGCGAACGTTTTTGTTGAATAATTTTTACAAGGGTCAGTCACGGTATGGATGACCAAAAATTATTATCTTGAACTACTGCGTGCTTCGGAAGGCACATTAAGCCGTTGCTCGCTGCAAAGGCTTAATGGGTATTTACTACTGCAAATGCAGCTAGTATTTGCAGTAGTAAATACCCTCCAATCGGCATTGGGGCAGCGTGGAGATTCATGGCCCATGCTGCTTAACCATCCACAAGGAAGGCCTGGGTCCCTGCAAAACAGATGCTAGAGGGGTGATGATGATGATTTAAAGATGTAAGTATTATTTTCAGTAACGTAAATTTTGTTTATTTTGACGCGCTGTCGCACGGTTGACCAGCCACTGACCATAAATTAAACGAGATTGATAACGCAGAGGTTAGTACGTTTGGTCTGCTATGCAGAAGTTAAGTAATTTTTAAAAGATTATTCATAGAATAGGTAAACTAAAATTTGTATTTCGTACTGATCTGTGCTTTGGAAGCTGTTGTTTCTGGCTGCATCTGCAGTCGTTTACACCCGATACATGACCCGTTCTCCATATTCGATTTGATTCCGTTCATCTATCCTTAAAAGGCCTGCGCAGCAATATTTTGTTCATTAGTGGATTGTTTGAATGGGTTAATAATCTCCTATTATAGCTCGTTGCTTAAACGAGGTTTTTATAATTAGAAGGACCTCAAATTAGACTTTTTTAGTGCCGCACAACTTACGTAAAGTCATGTAATATGGAACAAAGTTAATAAAAAAGTATAACATACACGAGCTTAAACCCAGTTCAAAAGTTATCTTGTGGAACAAATATTGGCATTAAGAAAGTTGTTATAGAGTAGATACAATTAGTGGCGGATATCGGAGGCTCGGGGAGGCAATAGCTCTGGATGCCTGAATCGACAATTTGCTTTTAACCCCCAAACATATATACATATGTATACATTTTTAAATTAAATATAT